GTCTAGTACTTTATGGAATGATCACAACTGGTGGGTAATTTTTATATGCTAAAAAATTATCCAACCAAATAGGTTTGTCTTATGACATGATTAAGTAAAATTAAATGAAAATTTTATTGCAGAATTTTCCATTCTTTACTGTGTTAAAAGAAAAGGCCCAAATGGTCTTTCCACAAAGCAAATTACAGGATTAATGTTTCTTCCAACAGAAATCAAGATTTGCTAATAGTTCCTTACTAATGACAGTAACCACATGAAATTTTAAATACTAACAGGAATCTGCATGCAAATTTCTTAAGCAATTATTTATTTGATTCAGAAAGCTTTTAAAGTATTATGATATATACATAGAAGGCAGAAAATCTGAGATACGATGGCTCTGAAAAATTAAAATTACACGTCTATTGTGAACCTTCCCAATAGCACTGACAACATTCTCATTGACTGTCAAGCAGCTATGATAGCTGAAAATTGGCAGGTTAAAGCAACTGCTAAGGGACTGTTGTTGTGTTGGATACAGTGGGAGGTACAAAATAGTTAATTACCCTAGAACAGTCATTAATCCAACTGAGGAAAAAGTTTAAGTAGTGAGAGAATAGTAATTCTCTAATTTTATATTAGAAAAGTTTGATGTTGGCTTCGGTAATTCACTTCTTCTGAAGGTTTGTATTGGTCTTCATGGTTAAGTGTCTTGATATAGTTTCATACTTTGGCCCAGTGAAATCATTCTAAAATGGAATGTTCACTTAGGGAAAGAGAAAATATACATGTTGGCTGACAGAGAAGGGAAAAATTATAAAAATGTCATCTTATCTAATAAACTAATGTCACATTTTCAATAATGTGTTTAGTCACTTTGTGAATGTGTTTAAAATGACATTTCTACTCTTAGATCTTGTGCAGTACATATTTGAAAAAAAGGCGTCATTTTAATTTTACACAGTTATACACGCACATATTTTTCTTCCTGATCACAAACTTTAACATTCATAGAGCTTTAATTCTCAAAGGAGCGTGGCAGTGAGTTTGCACTTTGGTCTATTCATAGGCCATCTGAATTTATTACGTGTTATTATTTTTAATAATAACAACACCAAATAATTTAATGACTCCATTTCTGGAACTCCACGAATAAAATGCAAAAGTTTGATATGCAATACATCAGTGAAGAATTTCAGTGCATCCCCCTTTGATGTCTTTCAAAAGAAATCTAATTTCTCACTCATTATTATTATGAAAGCTTTGAAAGTCAGGTCATATAGATTGGCGTATGTTTGCTTTCCATTTGGAATCACTTTGAGAAACTGCAACATATTCTTCCAGAGGAGATTGACAGTTCGAACAGAAATAAGGTCTGCGGTGAGCTCATCCTATACAGTTCGCTGGACTGGTGCTTGAACTTACCTGCTGTGACTTAGTGATAGAGTGTTCATCCTTCATCTTCACAACACTGGCGATGCGAGAGCACATACATTTTCTTTCTCCTTGGAACTTTCTCTTTGTGGTTAACCAAAATGATGTCAGAAAGACTTGCCTTTTTAAGACTGCAGTAGCCAAGAAATATATGCAGTTGTGAGTCTCCAAGCATTTCAAAAATTCTATGAATATGTCCAGACAGTTAAGTTTTTCATTATGTAAATACTCGTATGAGTTCATAATATAGCAACAAAAATGGTATGAAACTAAACGTTTTTCAGGTTTAATGATTCTTATTTTTAAAAATAAACAAAATTTTTGACCATTATATTCAAATTTTATTCTAAGCATTTTAAAATTTTCCTACCCATAATACAGCTCTGTAAAGTAGATACCATTATTTTTATTCCAATTTAGAGATAAGAAAATAAAGACCAAGAGAAAAGAAAAGAAAGGCCACAAAAGGTGATATAATTTACTAAGAACTACTGTGTAGGAAGAAGTACTTAATGAAGAGCATCCGGATTATTCTTAGAGCCTGTCAAGAGATTTTTTTTTTTTCTATTCATGACAGTGTCCATCTGGTTCCAACTCTATGCCAGACACTGTGCTAAGACCAAGATATACTTCCAAACACACTATATATCTTCACAGGAGGTGAATATCTGGATATCTGAACCCAAACTATCCAAACTACCTGCCCAAATACACGTGTGTTAAATAATTATTTTACTCATTCAATAATATTCAATAATATTTCCTTAAAAGCTATCGCCTGGTTAACACTATCAAATATCAGGCTCTTAGAAAGTATGTGGTTCTTAGTCATGTTTCTGCCAACTGAAGAACTAACAGGCATCCACCTTTTACACCATGGGTGTTGAGATGCCATGGGTATTCTTTTTTTTTTTTTAAATTGAGTTTATTGGTACATTTTAGGTATACAGTACAGTTACATTCATGATTGGGATCTTGTACCTTTACAAGACAGGTCTTGGTTCTCATTTTTTCCCCTTGTCCCTGCCCTTCCTTCACCCCTCCTCCCCTCCTCCCCTCCCCATTTACAAACACTTCATTTCCTTTTTTTCATTTTTCTCCTATTTTTTTTCTTTTCCCTTATTAGCTTTTCCCTACCCTTCCCACTTGCCCTACACCTTCAGCCCTTTTCTTCCCATTTCACGATGTCATTTATTTCATTAGGATCTTATGTACTATTATAGTTTTTCACACCAGAGAAACTATTCGGAATTTACACATGTGTGAGTTATGTATTTCACTTAGGAGTGTATCTTCAATAGGTATCCATTTTCCTATGAATGAATCTAATTTCTCATTCTTTATGGCTGAGTAGTATTCCATTTTATAGAAAAACCACATATTCTTTATCCAGTTTCCAACTGATTGGCAAATGGACTGTTTCCAAGTTTCGTGATTACAAACTGTGCCGCTATAAACATATATGGAGATACCTCAGAGAGCTTGGACTAGAGGTTCCATTTGACCCAGCCATCCCTCTGCTGGGTATCTTTCCAAAAAGAAGTAAAAGAATCATATCACAGTGATATATGCCATGGGTATTCTTGTTCCTCTGCGTACAGATAGGTTCTGTTTTAAGATTTACAGTGATGGATGAAAGAAGAAAGAAATACTACAGAAGGTAACGAGGAGAAGAAGCTGAAGGACTAAATATATTCTGCATTAGTTTAGACTTAGTCCTTTGTGGATCATACTGAGAGAGAATCTTTTTCTCATTCTCTTTGTTTGTTTGTACAAAGTGGACATTTAACTGCTTGAACACACTCTGTATTTCCCAGGAGGAGGAATGTGGTAGAAACCTATGCCCTTCAGATCAGTCACATGCAAAGTAGGAATTCCTTAATCAGTCATTTACCAGATGCGATTTTTAAAATGTTGAAATTTACTTGTAAAGCAAAATTGTACGAAAAAGAAAATCTCTATCAAAACAAAGTGTTCTGGATAATATCACACCAATAAAGTATTGATAGCAATTAAGCAACTAAAACTCCATAATCCTGACTTCTACCTATAATACATAATATTTGCAAGTAAGAAAGCCTTTAAAAAAGTCTTTAACTATTACCCCAAATCCAACAGTTGTGGCACCAGAGCCTCAAATGTTTCATAAGTCTTACCAAAAAAAACTATTTCAGCATCAAATAAAAATGAGTGCTCAAATAAACACTCCCAAGATATGAAAAAAAATCATCATTACCTGAACTATGGTGAAGCTGACGCCTTTTCTCAAAAGTGAAGGTTATCGTGGTTCTATGAGCAAATAATTTGCTTCCAATCATCTGTAAAAAAGATACAACTCTTTTTTGGAGGGAGAGGAAATGCATTGAAAATTACCTAGAACTAAGTCAAAGGGTTGGTTTTGTCATCACCCACGCCACACCGACTACTCACCTGTCACAAGGCATAGACTTATACAATGTGTACCCTTTGTTTTGGAGAATTTTGTTTTGTTTTGTTTTGTTTTATCTCTGTTGTCAAAATTGAGGGAGCAACATCCACCCTGCCCACTACTTAAAACCGCTAAAATATTTGGCTGTCTAGACATAAAAGTTCTTTGAAGAGAGAAAGTATCTCTTCATGTTCACTGTAATATATGTATATATATTATCAATTGGGGAGGGTGTGTGTTTTAAACTATCATTAATGTATATTGGATTCCATTGCAGGCTTCACTGTATAGCATTAGAGTCTAACATGTGGTATTTATCACAGTTAAATATTACTTATTAAGAAAATATCTGTGTCCACTTGTTAAAATTCTACTCCAACCCAAGGACTGAAAGTAGAATTAAAACACAGAATATATCTTTGTTAATTTGAATCTTTTCCCCAGAGACTATGCATTGATCATCATAGTAGGCATTTAGCAAAGAATTGTTGATTGAATGAATGTGCACCTCCTAATTGTATCATACATATAAAATTTACACTAGTTATACTTATTCCTCAGAAATGTGGAAATTAACATTATGTTCAATTTTTTTTGACAGTATGTTAAATTTTATTTTTAAAAAAATTATATATGTTACAAAATCAACCTTGGAAATCATTTTTATGAATATTAAAATTACTATTTTTTGTAATCACTTCTGGCCTGAAAGGCATATATACTATAATTCAAATATTTTATATCAGAAGGCAGAGTTTGATAACATTAAGTACTAAACTGACAGTTTCAGTGACTTCTGTCTTACGGTACATTTTAGAAGTATGTGATCATGAGATGTGATGATGTGATCATGTTTAGTAGAGAGAGATTCGTACCCAAATAAACCTATGTTCAAGCCCCAGCTGTACCCCTGCACCCCAGGAAGATGTTTACTGTTAATTTCTCTAAGCCTTTGTTCCTCTGTGTGGGTCTAATTACACTTGCCTCATGAATCATGCATGAGATTTAAATGTGGAAGTAGACCTCAAATGCTTAGTATAATATTTAACGTAACAGCCAGCCATAGCTTTTATTATGCGTACATTTCATCTTCTAAACAGGTGTCCCGTTTTGTGCTTGTTTCTGCTCTGTGAATTGGTATGTGTGTTTCCTTTTGCAGATGGATATACAACTGATGACATTGAGTTTTACTGGCGTGGGGATGACAATGCAGTGACAGGAGTGACAAAGATTGAGCTTCCACAGTTCTCCATTGTGGATTACAAACTTATCACCAAGAAGGTCGTTTTCTCTACAGGTTCGTATGAGGAAAAGGGTTCAGGGAAAGAATCGTTATCATATTTTGTCATACAAGCTCATTTCTCTCAAGGTTGTGTCTGGGGAAGACCATCACTTTAGAAGACAGTTCTGATGAAAATCATATTTGCCACCCAGCTTAGTGTTCCATTCTTTTCCAGAAGGCACCCCCAGCAAAGCTGATAAGGTCATGTATGTGTCTCTTATTTACCAGAAAAGGAACGAGTTTTTAGAGATAGAATATAGGAGGTGAAATAAAGACCTGGGTTCACAGTTGTCTTTCCACTTTATACATCCCACAGAATTCATCACAATTCTCAGAAGTATACAGAGGATTGCCAAACAGGAGGTTAAAGTAGACTGAACACAGTGAAATTCGCCAAAGGGTTATAACTTCCTTCCAACTTTACCCAGATTTGAGTTATAGCCTCTCCCAGATGTTGAGATTACCCTCATATCGTGCCATCTTTATCCTTATGGAAGTGAGATTTCAGATTGTCACACTTGATTTCAGCAGCACATTTTTACATAAAAACAAGAACCCAGAAAGGTAGTCATTTGCTGGATATTAATTTAGCAGAAAAGAAAAAGAAAGCCTACAGGAATATCTCTTTTTCTATTTTTCTTATTGAAGTGAATCTCATAGGCAAAGACATAAACAATAGTGTGACTGAATATTGAATTGCCTCTCCTTTTAAGGATTCATATCGCTTCAACCCACTTCAAGAAGAATGTGTGTTACTTAGTAAAGACTAAAAGTCGTACCTAACTCTAAGAAACTTTTCCTCAATGTGAGGTCCTCTAAATCCATAAAGCTGTGGAGATGTGTTCTGATTTGGAATGATTTCACTTACATATTGGGATATTTGGCTTTGACCAAGAAGACTGATACAACTTCTTTCAAATATTGAAAATATCCTCACCTTTCTTATATATTAAAGTGTACTTTTATATTGTAAATTATGATCTCCTAGTTATCTTCTCTGAAGAATAATTCCCAAATCACCATAATCAAAGCATTCAAATTTAATAAACTGGTTCTTTAGTTGTATTTTGCACAAATACTGCTCAAAAGAAGTGATTCTCCACCTTTGAGAGGGTAGGGGATCCCTTTAGTACTCTGAAACAAGCAGTTAAATTATTAAGATTAAAGAGTATACATACAACATACAAATCTGTACAGACCTACACTTCCTGAAGCTTTGCCATTGATCACAGAACTACGTAAGATTGGGTCTTTATTCTATGAACACAGCATGCTGATAGAGCAAACGTATAGGATAGACTTAATGAGGAACAATTAAGCAAAAGAACAAAGGGACTGTACAAGTTGTATTGTCACCACAAGAGTAGCGAATGCGTGTCCTTAATGTGGTATACTACGCTAAGCAGGGATAGCAGGGATCCTTTTAACTACTGGTGAGTCTGTATTCCATAATGAGTATTCCTGATAATTAAAATCTTGAGCTTATGGAGTTCTTTGGCTCAGAATAGATTCCTTTACCCAGAGCTAAAATTGGATTTGGGGAAGATGTACAAATAGTGCATGGACCTTTAATGGGAAGCATCCAATACATATGGATTAATAATGATGATGTTCTAAAACTGTCTTTCCAGGTTCCTATCCCAGATTGTCCCTCAGCTTTAAGCTTAAGAGGAACATTGGCTACTTCATCCTGCAAACATACATGCCCTCCATCCTGATTACTATCCTCTCCTGGGTCTCCTTCTGGATTAATTATGATGCTTCAGCTGCAAGAGTGGCATTAGGTAGGCAATTTTCCAGCTGCACGTGGGGCTTGGTTCAGTCTCTGTGTGCACATGCGCTTTCCTCCACCAGGCACTGAGATGCATGACCAGACTGGACCTTGCACTTTGCGAGAGTTTAGCCATTAGACTTTGGGTGCTCTGATTCAGCATTAAATCAATTAAACACGAGTTAAAGTGCTACAGTGTCAAAAGTAGTTAACCATGTAGCTATGGATAATGAAATTAGTTTCATCAGTTTGATATTTTTATTGGAGCATATTTCATGCAGTATTGCTTGTATAATCATTCAGTTTGTGTCTGGTCTTGTTTATCTGAGAAGGGCTCCCTTCCATCTTTTTATTATTCCTGAATGCCAAACAAGGAAATGTAGTATGTAGTAAATGGATAAGTGAAAAAGATTCTAAAGCTTCATTAATGTTTTTGAACAGCATGCAGAGTACAGAGACAAAAGAGTAAGAACACTAGCAAATCAATTGAGGCATCACTTATTATATCTCTGAGTATTTTTTTTAAATTATACCACCAGAGGAGGAGAGTAAATTATATTTCTTTAATGTTTTTGTTACTATCTCCTGATAAAGTTAATTCATAACCCTTTATAATCCTGAATTCTAACTCTTCCCTTTGAAATATTAAATTGTTAACCTCTTCACCATGAGATCCCAATTCAGTCATTACTTCCTTAGGAAAGTCGTTCATTTATTCATTCAAAAAATATTTGTTAAAGCTACGAATGGTTGGGCAGACCTACATTCCCAACACTCTGAGAGGTTTAAGGAGGATGATCATAAGTTCAAGACTATCCTGGGCAACTTACTGACTTAGGGAGACCCTGTCTCAGACATTAAGATAAGAGCAGGGAATGTAGCTTAGTGTGAAGGCTCTGTGTTCAAAACCAGTACCACGTACGTTTAAAAAAAAATGCTTAAAGGGCACTAAATAGCAGAAGTGCATACAGCAGTCCTCTCCTGGAAGTTATGTTGTAGTGGTAAGAAACAGATAATAAATTAAATAATCCTAGAAATTTTATCACAGGGTTACCCCTGCAGAGGGAAATGAACAAAGGAAGAATACTTGGATATTCTAGGGAGTATAGTTTAGAATAATCACAGCAGCCCTTCACCCTGAGGTTGCTACTAGACTCAAGATTTTAAGAAGATGAAGAGCCATGGAGAGAACTGGATGACAACATTCCCAGGCTATTCAAAGACTTTTAGCACAAAACAAGCCAAACAACTAAGCAGGAGGCAAGTGAAGAGTGAGTTCGGGCTGTCGTAAAGATAATGTTCAGGGCAAGGGACAAGAAGATCACAAAGAGTTTTGTAGGCAATAGTAGAGGCTCTGCTTTCATTTCAAGGGAAATAGAGAGCCACTGAGCACAATTTAGTTTTAGATTGAATGGGGTCACGTGGCTGTGGAGAAAGTCTCCTGGACTGAGTCAAGATCCAATGAGTCAGACACTCAGAAAGCCACAGAACTCCCCTGTGTAGATGACCTCAATTATAATTTTTATTTATTTAATGCCATGGATAGGAGAATGTACCCACAAATATTCACTGAATGCAAGACTGGCAAACATTTAAGAATATCTTATTTTCCCAAAGATAAGATCAGTTGCTCATTTTGTTTGTATTGTAGGAAGGATATATAATTTGCTCCCTTTTTAAGAGAAATTTCGAAAATCTCTCTTTATGTGAGCAGTTTGCTACTAGGTTCAGAAATACCACAAAATGAGATTTAGATAAATGGAAAAATCAACATTGACTTCTTGAATACACACATGCATGATGATAATCTCTAGTTGAAAGGATAAAGAGAAAAGTGAAATTGGAAAATGTTTTAAAATGACTAATATAAAGAAGACATGAGCTGGATGTGGTGCACACCTGTAATCCCAGCATCGGGGAGGCTGAAGCAGGAGGATCACTGAGTTCGAGACCAGCCTGGACTACGTAGTGAGTTCAAGGTCAGTCTCAACTACATAGTGAGACGCTGTCTGGAAAAAAAAAAAAAAAAAAGACATGAGAACTGCCAGATACTTTGAAGTAAAACCAAAGCTCAAAATTGTTATTTTCTGTAGCTTTAAATGAGACTGTATATAAATAAGTACTATGATGATGTTTTTAGAGAGATAAAATCAAGTAAGAAAACTATGCCTCCTATGCATCACAGATACAAAATGTAACTGTTTGAAATATGCTATTATTTACCCCTCCAGGTAAGTTTCCAGGGTTGGAGACATCCTGGTTCAAATGATGACTGCGAGTTTCCATTTCTGTGATCTTGACCTCTGAGCTTTGTCTATTTTCACAACAGTGTTTTGCTACCAGGCTGGACTTTACTCGGGACTCTGGACTCCCAATGCTTTTACCCTCTAATTACAGCTTTGCGAGAAACTACTTTCCACTGTCAAAGCTTTCCACGTAACTAGACAAACAATTACAACCTGATCCAGCATGGCATTTCCTATAAAGAAGCTCTATCCTGTTACTTATGTGGGCATCACATGCCTAATTGTGTAATCCAGAACCACAAGAGTTCCGAGCCTCCACTTCCAGTTTCTGAATGTTGACAACCTTTCCTCTGTATTATTTATGTAATGTTGCAGTCATTGATTTCAGAACTATTGCCACTATTTTAATTTACTGGTCTTCTACTGTTTGCACAGATTAATACTCATAACTGTAACTGGTATTCTTTATTCTCTTGCATGTTTCTCTCCCTTCGTCAACACTGCTTCCAGTTGTCCTAAACTCAATTTGCCCATGTTCCTCCCAGCTCTACATTGCCCTCGTTATTAATGCCCCTGGGGCTCCCCATTGTGCAGTCTTATTTAACCTCCATTTTTCTCACCATTCTTCGTGTCCTGCCCAACAGTCTACATAGGATGCTTTTTTCAAAATCCTTTAATAGGCTGTGAACTCTGTTTCACACCCAACCTTTATATAGAGTTCTCTATCAGCCCTGCCCTACATCTATCTTTTGACCTCCAGTTCTCAGTCTTCTGGGTAACATTATGTTGTTTTCCCTGCAACTAACCCAAAAGTGTCCATCTCCTGAAGTCTTCCCCATGTGATTTATGTTTCCTCTGCATTTTAATTCTCATCTTACATACATTTCTACCATAAGAACATTTAATTCACATTTCTGCACATTTATTCGTCACTACATATAAACGTTAAAAAATACTGTGAAAGGAAATCTTCCCAAATGATTAATGTGCACTTTAAGATCACTTACACCTAATTCCAGGGCCTGTCACAGGGCTGGTATATATTAAGTCCTTAGTAAAAATACTGTGGCATAAGTTAACATTTGCAGATATTCTGAGGAAGGAGGAATAGGACTCTAACACTGTCATTTCTTTTCAGGAATCACAACGGTCCTTACCATGACCACAATCAACACCCACCTTAGAGAAACTCTCCCTAAAATCCCCTATGTGAAGGCCATTGACATGTACCTAATGGGGTGCTTTGTCTTCGTTTTCATGGCACTTCTGGAGTATGCTTTGGTCAATTACATCTTCTTTGGGAGGGGACCCCAACGCCAAAAGAAAGCAGCTGAGAAGGCTGCCAGTGCCAACAGTGAGAAGATGCGTCTGGATATCAACAAGGTAAACTGGGAGGGCAAGCCCTCCCTGCTCCTCTAACTCACGAAACAATGCTGGCCTTGCTCAGCATAGGAGAAAACCAAGGCCCAAGGCAGAGAATGGGAGGCATGGTTAGGACCCAACTGATCACCCAGAATTTGTTTTTCCTATCAGTTAATCTTAGGGTTGTGCAGACCTTCATCATCTGAAAACCACCTATATGATTTTTTCCATATATGAAAATAGTCCATTATTTACTTTATATTTCTTTGAAGTTTCACACCTTGTTTAAATTTAAAAAAAAAAGGAAAGTTCATCTTATTCTCATTGGTTTCATTTGCTGGAAGATAACATTAAATAAATAAACACCATATGCAAATTAATTATCTTATTAAACTCTTTGCAAAACAAAGGTCCTGGACCTTAGATCTGCATTCTCTTTGACTTACAAAGGAAACAAACAAGGCTAGAGATATGTTGAAGACTCAAACACAAACTCAGACTCTCTTCTGAAAGTAATGAGGACAGAAAGATAAGTAGGGGAGGAATGAGTTTTCTCCCGAAGTGACACAGTATCACTCCGTGCTGCGCACGTGTCCTACTTTGGGAGAAGGAAGTGCTTGGCCGTATGAGGCTGTAGTCTTGCTGAAGTCAGACCTGCTCAGAGACTTCCTGCGCAGCTTTAAACCCTTCCCATCCACTCAGTCAGTAGTTCTGGGCTCTAGTTCCGCAGTGAAATGTCTTGGAGGAAATAAAAAGTGATACGGAGGCCTGGGTCCCTTACCCTTCTTATTTGATTATCTTGAGTGGGTGCAGACATCATACTTCTTAAAAGTTTGCCGGGTTATTCCAATTTCTGACCAGGAATCTCCACTTTGAGGCTTGTGACAGCAGTCCCCATGGATTTAGCCCTCTTTCATCCCCAAATGTAACCTCCTCTGGCTTGCTGATAAGCAATTTTCTACACTAAACAGAATAATTATGTATATGACTACCCTTAGTCAAAATGTATATATACCCTCTGAGATAAAAAACACATGATCTTGATTTAATATTCCCTAAATAGTGTTTATAAATAGTTCCTAATGATAGAACTAGGAAAGAACCAGTACTTTAAAGCCATTTGCAATTGTTGACTGTAACAGTAATTTTTTCATTGACATTTTAATATTTCCACCTTCACCTTAACTTCACAGACAGCATAAATAAATGACCCCTACAATTGGAATTTATTTGGAGAAAATCCTGTGGAAGTTTGTGGTTTACTAGCTTTCCCATATATTGATAGGTCTCATATTTATATCTATGGGTCTAATAGTTGATATTGGACTATTTTTAATCCAGAAGATGATATTTATAATGGTGCAAGTTAAGCGTAGTCCTTAAAAGCCTATAAAGCAGAAGGTATAGGAAACTGTTAGTTTCTAAAATCCAAACTCTTACTCTTTGGAATCTGTAGGCTTGTAGATAACAATGGCCAGTCTCAGTTATGGCTACCTCAGCCTGTCAAATGAGAAAGTACTTTTTAAACCCTTTTTGTGATTTTTTTTTTGATACTGTACGCTAAGTAAAGAAAAAAGAGTGCATAAATAAAACTATCTACCAGTACAGCAGTTTGAAATGAGTTTGAGTCTACTTCCTAGTGCAAGGCTGGCTTAATAAAATAACATCTGATCTCTTTTTTACTTTCATCTACCCTATTTTTTCATACTAATTTGCATTTAAATGATAAATGTAAGATCTAGGCAGTGGAAATTTTATATAAACTGAACTTGAAAAGCTTCAGATAGCTCTAAATTCAACTGTACTGAGATGGGTAGAGAATGGTTCACTAGGCAGGTGCCTCATGGTGTAGAAATGTCCTCCTGGCTCAGTGTGGACACAATTCAGGCAACAGCATATGAGCGAATAAGAAAGATACCTGGAAATCTTTCATTGCAGAAGGACAAAGTCATCTCCCAGGGAATACTTGGTGCTGTTTAGAGACAGTTTCAGTTATCGGAACTAGGAGATGGGAGTTGCTGCTTGTACCCAGTGTGTGGAGGCCAGGGACTGATGCAGCAAACATTCTGCAGTGTGCAGCACAACTTCCTATAACAAGGTATTATCCAGCAAAGTATATAACAACTCATTCTCAAACATGAGAAAATGAGAACCAGAAAAAAATACATGCTTATGTTACTAAAAGTGGCTTATTTTACAAAAGTGGCTTCACCATTTTCTTTGATCGACCCAATACAAGATACCAGGACTTGTGATTTAGCACAGTGTTTCTGAAAAAATATTTTGAAGACAGTTTCAACATCTGCCCTCCCTTTAATGACTGTGAGACAACAGATAAAAACAGCTTATCTGACCCTGCACGTTTTTCATCTGTAAAGTGGGGTTCATTCTTCTCTCATAAATCTATTGTAAAGATTATTTTGATAATGTGTAAAGAGGGTAACATACTCGTTAGTGCATGGTAAACTCAGTAATTAGTGATTATAAATAAAATATTAGCACTAGTCATTATTAGTTGTAAAATAAAATGTATCATCTTCAGACTAAAGATGATCCTAGCTTATGCACCTTACGTGGCCTGGATGTAGAATTCATTCACATCCCCTAGAAGACAATATTATCTTAAAAGGAATGGTGCATGACAGAAATTTTAATATTAAAGCAAAAACAGCATATTTAATGACTATGAACTGTAGAATTTATAGCAAACCCATTATGTCAAACTTTATCAGTTATTTCTTAGGGCAAAATACCTATGCCACATTGATTAAACAAAAGATTGCCCATTTAACATTCCAGATTGCCATAGTTCTTTTGCAACCTAACATGAAAAGTTAGAAAGGGATCCACACTGAGTACCGATATTATAAACGTTTCTTTTGTGTTACCTTATGAATAATGCCATCATTTCTTGTCAGAAATGTCCCTTCATTCACTTCTTTTCAACTGTAATTCTAAACTTATTTTCCTTTAGGGATTGAGCACATATAATCAGCCAAGTATTGTCTGCTCGACACACAATCAGTCTCTAGGGGAGGGATTGAATTTTTCACCTTTGATAGTTTCCTAGAGAAGGAGGTGAGGTCCCTGCTCACTGAATCCAGTGATGGTGAACCTTTCAGAGCTTTCAGTGATAACATACAACTCGCTGTGGCATTCGTGCCATAAGTTCTCCACCACTGACTTGGTTTTTAAACTATGTGTTATTTAAAGCTGAGGTCAGTGAGAGAAGAAAATGGGAAGGTAGCCCATGTGGGAACCCCCTGGCACTTCAACAAATACTCCCATGGTTTTCCTGCATAATTTTTATTTTTATTTATTGGGGGGTACCAGCTTCAGCTCATAAAGCAATTCCTATCTGGTATTTTACTTATGTAAACAATAACATTCTTTAACAAAGTACAGCAGTCAAGGCTGCATAGCAAACGATAAAAATTCTAAGTTTTGGAGTTTTTTCCTATTTATATTCAGTGTCTATTCCACTGTGTTAACAAAAAAATAAAATCAAATTAAGAAAATCATCCTACATTAGCACATATGTTTAGTAAAGTTAACTTCACGCACACGCGCGCGCACACACACACACACACACACACACACAAAATCTCACCTACCTCCACATGAGGGCCCATGAACAAATGTCCCTCCACTGTTGTCCTCCTGTGAAAAGTGAAACTGTAAAATATTAATGTTTTTCAGTAAGCTTCAAATGAGCATGAGATCTATGAATGTTTTTCCTGTCTACTTCAGTATATCAAAGAACATAATCCCTCCTTAAAACAAAAACAACAAAAGGAAACAATACAAAATCCCTCTCCTGGAGTTAGGATACTCCTGTGTGTGTGTGTGTGTGTGTGTGTCCTAATAGAATTTACTTTTGATTTCCCACCCTGTTTTTGCTCATACACATTTTCAACTCTCCTTTTGAAAATTAAAGTTTTATGTTGTTTCCTAGTTTGTTTTTCTGCCAATTACTAAGTATAAGCATGTTTAAGAATCTAGTCATTCTTGCCTTTTCACCACCATGGTTATTGCACATTTGAAATACTTCCAATGTCCTTGTTATATTGAGAAGCCCCGAACCAGCAATTCTGTAAATAAATTCTGTAAATAGTCTTCTCTGTTCCACATTCATGAGTGTTGTAATTCTGTATCGTCTCTATCTATTGTGCCTAATCTTTTGTAATGCAAAGCCACTAATATCCTTTTGATTTATTTCTACGACTTGGAATTAAATTTGAAAACTAATGGTACATTTTTTAAAAACTTCACTAATCAGCACTTCCATTCTCTGTCAGCATTGGTCTTTCTTTATGCTTTGTAAAGACCATGAGCATTTATCTATGTCCAATTTACTTTAAACACCAGTCCTAATCTAGTGGCATCAGTCTACTTAATTAGCACATTCTCTACTTTGTCTTCCAGATTTTTTATAAAGATATTAAACAAAATGGGACCCAATATCGATCCTTGTGGGACCCTACTGGAAACCTCTCCCCAACTAGACGGACTACCAATTACGATTTCTCTCTGTATACGGTTAGATAGCCAGTTTTTCATCCATTTATTTGTATTTCTGTTGGGACCAATTTGTTTAGCTGTTCCCTGTAAACTCATGTTTGGGATCTTTGCAGATATTTATGGTCATCTATCCACAGAGATTTGGGGATAAGTTAAATGTTCTCATAAGACCCTAGTAGTTTCCCCAGGTTTATTTTTCAATATAGATTTGGTGGGCCTAAGCTTCAATATTCCATTGAAAAATTATTGTTGTCTAGATAAAGTGAATGGAATCTGTTTTGAGATCTTTTCATTTGTACTGAGAGGTTAGAGTGCTATTGCATATGGTGGGGTTGGTTTCTTGTTCTCGGGTGGTGGTGTTGTTCATATTGTTAGTTGAGTGATATATTAAAAACTTTTCCACTTGATTGGTTCAGAATTCAGAAACAGATATTTTCTGTCCCAGACTATTTATTTGTGTTTAAGAATCATTCACTTGCATCAAGTCCTTGTTGCTGTATTGTTACTTATTTCACAAATAAATATTATCTTGGCGAGGCCAGCACTTTCCTGATGATTCCTGGTCAAACTCTGAGTTCTAATGAATTTCAAAGACAGTCTTTTTCGTTGTTGTTGTTCTTGTTGTTGTTAATACCTAGAGTTTGGTTTCTGAACCCTCCTGTGTTTTCCATCCTAATTGGAAAATTCTCATTCATGTTGCCAACCAAATTGGAATACGAGGATTTTTATGTGGAATTTTTCGCTAGTCTATCTTTTCAGTCTCGACTTGTGCAATACCAGTTTCCTTTCACTTTAATTTCTATTTCTTGGCGTGGCGATGGTTAATATTGCATATTAATAATTGTTTATATGAGGACTTGATGTCAGATAAACTTGCATTATTGTATCTTCTATATCTCATGCTCTTCTTTAATTGTATTGGTGTGATTTCAAAATCCTTGATGCTTACTTGTTTTGCCTTTGGGTTGACCTACAGGTATGGTTAGTCTAGTAAATTGCTACTTTGTTTTGGTATTTTATTACTTTTTAATTTTAATTCCTTTTATGAGATTATTTGGAAAATGGTAACTGGTTTCAGAAAAAGAGATCTTTAAAAGCCTGTTAATCATCCGTTGGTCCTAATTCCTTCAATATTTTAGCACTTATGATGTCTGATCTCTCAGGCTCATTTATGTTCTTGCTGATGTTGCTTGTTTTACTTTAGTAGCTTTTGCTGAAACTAAAGTAGATTGATTTAATGGGATATATTCCGTATAGAATGCTTATCATATGGAAGAAAATATGAATGAAAGATGCAATTTGTATTTATGATAAAAATGGTTGAAGGATATTTTATTTGTCAAATCTCAAATCAAATGTTTCTAATGCCTGGGTAAAGCTGCATGAAAATTGAGAATATGCTCATGGCATGGAGGATATCTTAAAGAAAATTTGTTGCTTTTGTGCATTAAATTTTTTAGTTGAGATATGGCTTCAGAATTAATTCTCTATAATTCATTAAAAAGGGCTCATTTTTTTAAAAAGGCTTTCCTGTATTTCATAAAATACTATTTTAAAGAAGATACTTGATTTACATTGAAGTGTGAATTCCAATATCTTCTGTTTTACCCTTTTTTCCTCAGTTATGTCTTTATTTTGTCCCTTAAGTCCTCTTTTAAATTCATATTCGGAGTGTACCATAAGGACTGATATTCCACAGTTCAGATGTAAGTTTTTGAATTAAACTTATAACATTTAGAAGAGTCAAGATGCACGTGTTAGTCCTGAGAGGCACGGGGAGATTGTGGGATTCCAGGGACATATCAAACTCAGTGCACATTCAGGCATGGTCTTCCTTGGGCCGGATAACTTTGGACCTTTTTAACTCTTCAAGTTTCCCAACTGCAAGTTGAAAACACCAATTTCAGCCTTATAGAGTTGCTGAGAGGATGGAGTGAGATAATTATGTTAAGGACCTTACATAGTACTAGGAAAAGAGTGCTTAATTAATAGTTGCTATTATTGTGGAGATGGTAAATGGGGAATGTGTGTTTCTCTCAGTTTTTTTTTAATTTATTACTGTTTTTCTGATTTTTAACCTAATTCACATTGTTCCTAAATATATTTATAAAAGGTAGCAATAGCTGTTCCCTCTCCTATGCAAGTACAATCATTGTTAACCCTGCTTTTCATTCACAGCTAGTGGCATTCTTTTATAGAAATAATCATATTCTATGATATAATCATGATTATTTTATACTTGGCTTTTAATATATTTA